ATTCTCAGGAGAAGACCAGGCCCACACAGAGGCCTCATATGCTATGATCTGATTGACAAGCTAGACTCCACCCCTATACTCTTAATCCTCAAATTGACAAATGATTATATATCTACCACACTTACACTCAACAAACTGGACTTTGAAAGTTTAAATCTTTAAAAATGACAGCAATCACAGTAATCACTGGTATGCAATAATTGGTATATTTTAAAATTGTACTATAAAAATAGAAAACCATGAATACCACCTCAAATTAACATTACTACTTTGACTTTCTCATTTCAAGAAAGCAAAAGACTATGATTGCTTTTACTTTAATGTTCCCTTGCATTTTAGCTTTGCAAATGTGTTACATAGATTGCTAGGTACAGGTTTTCATTTTCTTATCAGAATGAAATCTCAATAATATTCTCCATGTTATTGGGAAAGAGCACATATGGATCAACTATGTTTTAGTACATACTTGTTTCTCTTTATTGTTTTCGGTGCATTTTAAGTACGAATTCAATTATTTGGGCATGTAGCATGGGAAAGAAAGACCTTGTTCTTGCAAGTTTGTCTCAAAGACTTGAAACAGCACTTGTGGAGAAATGAGTCATCTGCCTGTTTTTAGTGGCAGCTTAGAAGTTGTACTTGCATGATCAGCTCAGAACTCCTATTCAGAAGTGGCAAGTGACTCTTTGACGTCAGATCGCTCAGCTCCCAGGTTAGGTCTGCAAAGGCATGGCTGTTTCCCTGGGCTCTCAGAAGTATAGTGTTTATAGTGAATGTCAGCAAGGAGTTTGCATGGCCATTCAGATGATTCAAATTTACAGCTTACTGAGGAAGACAAAATATATACTTATGGATCTCCACACTATTATTTTTGGAACCTTAGATTATGTAGGACTCAAGATTTAATAGTTTAAAAGCTTGTTCTTGTTAAATAACATTTCTGGCGAATAACAGGGTCATTTTATATAGTTTTCTTACTTTTTTGGGGGTTTTGCATATACATACTCCAGTTACACTATTTTTTTAAAGATATAACCCACATTTTAAAAAGATATAAAATTCACCACTGCTGAGTATGCTGAGTATTCAGTGGTTTCTAGTATAGTCATAAGGCTATGCCCTCTTGTATAATTCCAGATGGAGCATCTGTATTTAAGCTTTTCGCTTATTTGATTAACTTAGCTCTGACTTTTTCCCCCCTACTTTGAGGAAAACCTATTTTGTCTTTGCACTTGCTTCTGGTCTCTTGGAAGGTTTTTAGGGCTCTAAGGGTTCCAGTGTAGAGTAGTTGATCATAGGGGCTTTTACGTTTCACATTAGTCACTGGCGCTCAGTACTTTCTAAGTGATTCTCAGTAACTCCTCTCGGAAAAGTGCTGCAGCAACTGCAAAGAAGTTCTTAAACATTTGAATTGTATTTCAGAGTTAGAGAAGTTGGAAAATAATACATAAAGATGTGTTCTGTCACACATAACACAACACTTCTACCTTTTCAGCTCTGTCTCCTACAGCACTCTACTTTTTCTGCTTAGTTCTGTAGTTCACTGAAACAGGCACACAGAACTCAAAGAGAATACGAATGGCTATGGGGTTTATGTGACAGATTATAATTCAGATAAGAAATGTTCAGGATATAGTTACTCAGTCGAGGCATGTTACACCGTTCTTTATGGGCTACTGGTAAGGTCCAAAGGGCATGATACTCTTCTATCAGTCTCAACCCAAAGGCACTCAGCTACAGCTCCCTGAATTAAGTGCCCAGAGGCATCCCACTCCACAAACCAGTACTCAGCTTTACTTGTTCTGTAGCCTTCAAAGTCCACGACTTTTTCTCATGCTCTGGCTCCTGGTTCTGCTGCTGCTGCTGCTTCTCTTCCACTCTTCTGCTGTCAAAGCTGTCTCCTGGATCAAAGAGGTTCGCTCCACAGGGACCTTTGGTTTCCAGATGTGCTTCACTCCTGGCTCTTGCTGGTAGTGAAATCCCCTACTTTTGCTTCTGAGATAACACACTTTATATACAGCAGGATGGCAATTATAATGAATCCTGTTAACAGGTACTTTAGCTGAATCTATCAATATCGTTGTCCACCTTTTTTTACCTAGACCCACCAGGAAAAGGTTGCTTGATGGGAGTTACAGAGACTATTAAATAATTAATTAAACTGTAGGCTGAATGTTGTTCTTTGACAGTAGAATACTTCTTTGATAACTTACTTATATACTCCTTCCTCTTGCATGCTGGTATTTTCCAACTCATAATACTATTTTAGAAGCATTTTATAAATGGCTGCAGATATTGTAAGTAATTATCTTTATTTTTAGAGATCCTCTCCTTTCCAATAATTTCAGTAAGATTTATACTGGATGTTGTGATTTTCCAACATATTTTCTTTCTCTGGCAATACAGGTAATGTATTTATATAACTGTATATGAAAGCTGATAAAAGTAAACAATAGGTTTAGAAGTTAGTTATGTTCACTTTGGTATAGGATATTTATGTACACTATTATATGTCTTGTAGTCTCTAGGAGGTACAATGGAAAGGTTAGAGGCTCTAGTCCACCAGAGGCATCTTGAAAGAAAGGCCGACAGTCTACTTCAGAAAAATCAGTCATTGAAAACCCTACAAAGCACGGTTCTTCTCTGATGCACATAGGGTTGCCATGCATCAGAATCTACTCAACCATAACTAGTTACCAGTTTTATATGTTTTAGTAGCTTGCTTTCTGAAAAAAAAAATTTCCAGTATACTGTTCTTGATTCAGACTAAACTGTAAATAACTCATTAACAGCAAAGCAGGTCTCTTTAGCTTCAACTGAAGTAAAAACTCCTTCTCTTTTTCCAATCTTTTACCTTTTCACAGACACCTAAGATCTCTTATAAGCCTCATATTTACATGCTCTGTTTTCCCTAAGAATAGCTTTTTGCTCTCCTGATGAGATGCTTTAGTTTTATTTTTCAGTTTTCTACTGATGAGATACTTTAGTTTTTTATTTAGTTTAGTATTCATTCCCAAATGATTGTCAGGAAAATGCCATATTGATTCATATAATACTTAGCACCCCTCTTTGAACAAAGGGTTAAGGTAAAAGAGATTATATAGATGATTTAGAGTTCAGTTAAATTCTGTTCCCCTGCAGCCCTACTCCCAAATTAGGACTGCTATATAATTGGGAATGAGCTAGAATAGATATTGTTGTTATTGTTAAGTACCATGGATTGCTTCTGATTCATAGCCGCCCATGTGACAGAGTAGAACTGTCCATAACGTCTTTTAGGCTGTAATTGTTATGGAAGCAGATTTCTGTCACTGAACTGCTGGGAAGGAGTGAGCCACCAACCTTTAATTTAGCAGCTGGATAGAAATGATTGTGCCACCAGGCCTTGGATGGATGCTGGAATTCATTTATTAGTTATTTGCCATTTTATGTTTAATATTTTATTTTCTATTAAAGTGTTAATTTCGTCTTTATTTCTAAGAGCTTATTATGTACCTAGAATAACAGGCATTTTGCCATGTTTTGAACTCTTACCTTTATATTTTGCTGTATGCAGAAGTCTTAAACAGTGTAGACTTAAATTTGTCTTTTTCTTTATATCTTCATACATATTTCTTCCTTAATCTGACACTACAAATATTCATAGTTTTGCATTAAAAAATTATTTAACAACAAACCAAGATAACCTGAAATTTATTTGCAGTATGGTTTTAAGTAGGGATCTATGTAATTTTAAAATTTATAGTCAATTATCCTGTCACCAGTAATACAAATAATGATTCAAACATAACACTTTTATCAGATAATACATTTTACATATACTGATAGATTCAAATTCCCTATGTAGGTACTTTGTTTTTTAAGATTTCTTAGGTCAGTATTACATAATTTTAATTCCTTTGGTTTGCTATTAGGTGAGGTATGAAGGTAAGTGGAAAAATGTTGCTATGAAAACCATATTAAACACAAGTATCAAAATATGAAACTGTGGCTTTTTCACATATCGTCCATTTAGGTCTATACCTTCGGAAGGCTGTTTCCATCTCTCTAACCCTTCCCCAAAGAGTTCCATGGTCTTTGACTTATATCAAAATACAAGTTTTGGCACCTTGAGGGATGCAAATCATGTTCCTTAAAAAAAAAAAGTTTTATTGACATATCATTCACATATCTTATACTTAAATAATTCAATCATGATTCTTTTTAATGTTATTTGAAGCTTTGGGAAAAAAAGAAGTCTTTAAGGGGCATGATCTGGGCTGTATGGAGTGTGGAGTAAGGTTTCTTAACAAATTCTTCAAGGACAGGCTGTGCTATCCTTGAAGAATAAGTAGGTGCATTGGTGTAATGTAAAGAAAATTCCTTGGCACAACTCTCCTGGCCTTTTTTTCACTGATGCCATTTTCAGTTATCTTAAACTTTCTTCCTAATAAGGTCCTGTGATTGTCCTGTGTCTGAGAAAAATTGCCAAGATTACCTCTTTGCGGTCCTCCAGAATAGTTGCTGTCGCCCTTCTGAGCTGACTCGTCTGTCTTCAATTAACTGACCCAGCAGGCCTCATTAGAAGCCACTGTTTTGACTGAAATTTTTTTTTGTCTCAAATGAGATGAAGATAGTGTATTTCTGAGAGAAGGTGTCTGTATCCATCTGATCACAGAGACTTGTATAAACATGTTTTGTTTGGAATAAATTTGTACGTGTAAAACTACTTTAGCAATACTTTTTGACTTACCTTTGTGTGTCCCCCTTTTCCCTCCAAATTTTGTTTATTATATTCCTCTGTATTTTCTTTCAAATGTGCATACTACTTGATATTTACTGAGCATTGAATATGAGTCATGAGTCAAAATCACGGGTTAACCCATGCCATCCTTAAAACAACCCAATGAAAGTGTTACATCATCATTTTACAGATGCAAACTGCAGGTAAGCTACAGAAGGGAGATTCAGATTCAGGCAAGCTGACTTTAGAGCTCATGCCTTTTTCACAAGAAAGCCTGTTAATACTTACTTGGTAGGGGAGATACCGTGATCACAAACTTGGTTTTCCCAGGGAGGGCCTCAAGCATTGCACTCTGGGTGTGCCCACTCCTGTGATTTCCCCAAATGTGTGAAACTTGACTGCATAATTTGTGATGGTTGGTGACTGCACTCACAGCTATCCTCTTGTGGGGGTGGGGGTGGGGGGCAGGGAAGAAAGCCTGTTGAATTTTTGATGGAATTAGATTTAATTTGTAAATCAAACTTTAAAGTATGTACTTATATAATCTATTTTCTGAGTTCTACTAGCTAGAAATAAGATCTTGAAGTCTCAGTAAGTTTTACTAGTTGTCATCTTTTTTGTAAGTTTTGTATACATCTTAAGTTTATTCTTAGATATTTGTATTATTGGCTGCCATAAACGGGCTCTTCTTCTTCCTCTTTGGTGGAGAGTAATGGGATCCATAGAAGTGGTCTAAAATAAAGCTATTGCTTCTCAGGACCAGGGTGACAGTGGCGATACCAGGAGGGAAGGGGGGTGTAGAAAGGGGGAACTGATCACAGGGAGCTACATATAACCTCCTCTCTGGGGGACGGGCAGCAGAGGGGTGGGTGAAGGGAGATGCCGGGCAGTGTAATATAAGATACAATAATAATTTATAAATTATCAAGGGTACATGGGGGAGAGGGGAGGGGAGGGGAAAAAAAGGAAAATGAGCTGATTCCGGGAACCCAAGAGGAAAGCGAATTTTGGGAATAATGAGGGCAACAAATGTATAAATGTGCTTTACACAATTGATCTATGTATTGTGATGAATTGTATGAGCCTCAATAAATTGATTTTTAAAAAAATAAAGCTATTGCATTGGTGCATTTTCTGTCAGTCTTGCTTAATAATAATACTGCAAATCTCTTAATAAATATATATTTAGGAAAATGTTCAAAAATTAAATATCTAATAGTAGGACAATTGGTACATGTGGAGGAGGGGTATATTCTATTTCTGGAGTTCAAAAAGTATGAAGTCTTAGATTATAGTAAAAAACTGCTTTTGGGCTAGGTTGAGCTTCTTTATAGACTCAGGTTCTAGGGGTGGCCAGGAAGTCTTTGGTGGGACCACACAGCTAACCTTGGTAGTGGTGAGCACAGTCCTTTTACTTGGTGAGCATAGGGACTACAGAGGATACCTGGCCTTTTTCCTCTAAGGGAGTAATTAATTATCTGGCAGATGATGTCACCATAGGAAATCCTTTTGCCCTGTGAATATAAATGATTGCATTTGGCACGCAAAAAGATAGTTAAGAGAGTCAGTATGTAACTTACAAAACTATGCAATAAGAAGAAGAATGAAGAAAACAATAGTCCAAAGGACTGATAATAGACTACGTTAGCCCCAGCCTCCACAACCCGGAGACCAGAAGAATTAGATGGTGCTCCGCTCCTGCTGTAGGCCATTTTGAGAGAGATCGCAATAGGAGAGTCTTGGATGGATGGGGAGAAAATGTGGAAGAATATTCAAAATAAAAATCCACTGTTATTCATCGGATAGAGACTGGGAGAACCCCTGAAGCTGTGGCCCTGGAACTGAATTCACTTTCTCTGCTCAACTTTCAGCCAGACCATAGGATAAGCCTAGAGGGTGAACTGGAGCTCTGGTGGCTTAGTGGTTAAGGAGTGCTAACCACAAGGTCAGCAGTTAGGAATCAACAGCCACTCTTCAGGAGAAATACAGGGTTTTTTACTCCTCTAAAGAGTTACAGTCTCAGAAACTCACAGGGGCAGTTCTACTCTGTCCTATAGGGTCACCATGAGGCCTCATTGACTTGATGGCGGAGTTTGGTTGTTATTTTAAGGGGATTTAAAACTAAAAAAACTCACTGGAAAAAATCTGATATTTAAACTTGTTGCAATTATTTTTTGTGGTTACCTTAGTTGTGGCTGTAAATGCAGAGTCCTTGATGACCCATGTTGGAATGGGAAAGAGAAGTGGGAGGGAATAGATTTCAGCCTTGGGTTGGGCATGGCCTTGGCATTATTTTATTAGCTGGACTTCTTGGGCTTTTTTCAGAACTCTTCCTTCTCCTCCCCTGATAATCCTGAGACAGTCCAAGGGTAAGTGCAAAACACCTTCTCAAAGTGGGAACAGGGCTGCTTCAGTAGCTGTGATCTTTTCTTCCTTGGGTGCAGTTTAGAACTAAAATCTTGGAAACTCACAGGAGCAGTTCTACCCTGTCCTTAGGGCTACCTTGAGTGAGAATTGACTCAGTGGCAGTGAGTTGTATGTTGTTGTTGATAGGGTGAATAGTAATAGCATGGAAGTATGTACTCTATGGAACAGTCAACCATTTAAGATAAAAAAAACACAAACCAACTACCATTGAGTCAATTCTGACTCACAGTGACCATGGTGGGCAGGGTGTAACTGCCCCTTAGGGTTTCTGATGCTTTTAATCTTCATAGGAGACAGCCTCATTTTTCTCCCTTAAAGCAACTGGTGAGTTTGAACTGGTGGCCTGACTTGACACACTATACCACTAGGGCTCCAAGGACAGCATTTACCCAAGGACAAAGTTCAAAAGTGTTACAAAATGAGGAGGAATGGAAATAGTAAATATAGGGAGGAATTGGGAAGCGTGCTGTTACATTTTAGGGATTGCGATCAAAGACATGAGACAAAATATGTATGAATCGTGGAATGTAAAACCAGTTTGCTCTGTAAGATTTCACTCATAAACAGTTAAAGAAATAGTTGTGAAGTGAATAATTTTCAATAATATGACCAGCAAGCACTATTTTTATTCTGAGCACTTATTATGCCCTAAGTGCTCTTATTCTTAGTTACCTATTTATCTATTTACTTATCAAATATTTGTTATTTTTAGATAGCTGTTATAAGGGATCCCTGGTGGTGTAGTGGTTATGTGTTAGACTGCAATCCACATGGCCGGCAGTTAGAAACCACCAGCAGCTCAGCAGGAGAAGGATTGAGCTTTTTACTTCTGAAAACAGTTGCAGTCTCAGAAACACACAGGGGGTCTTTATGAGTCAGCACTGATTCAATGGCAGTATTAGATCAATAGGTATCTAAGAAATTTTTCTGAAATAGTTTTAATAGTTTTTCGGTTTACAGTTTAAAATTACAGTGACAGTTTGCATAATGTTGCTGTAAAGCTATTCTGGGGAAGAAACAATGCTTTCCTATGCAGTATTCTAACTTTTTATATTTATTTTTTAAACTTTTATTTTAAGCTTAGTTTACTCCTGAGCCTTAAGTTTTTGCTTCTTTAATTTCTTCTGGGAGATCTTTTTCTTCTGTGCAACCCCCTTTTCAGGTTTAGGAATAATTTGTTCCTTTTGATTAAGGATCATTTTAATGTGGCAGGGGGAGTTCATGTATGGTTTGATCTGACCATGAGTTCTTTCAGTCTAGCAGTGCATCTTAGGGACTTTGTTCACCTGGATGTGCTCAATGACCAGAGAATCCACATCTAAACCCTTAAATTCAGCATTACTCTCTTCATTTTTAAGCATGTGCAGCCAAAATTCAGCACTCTTTTTGGGCCACCAAATCTGGTCCAAGCCCATTGTTTAGCCTGGGCACACCTACCAACTCAACCATTATAATGCCGGAAGCGCACACATACTGGTCTGCTAAGTGACATCTTTTAAATAATTGGTTGACTTTCAGATGTGCATATTCTTGATGACTTGGATAGTTTCATGGATGTTCTTAAAATGGACCTGGGATTTCAACCTTCTTGATTTGCTTGGTGTTGTGAGGTTTTCTGGTTATAGTGAGTAGGGAACCATTTTGGCATGTCACCTCAGGCCGATCCAGAAAGAGGAAGAATTGTGGGTCCTGGGAGAATTCATGGTCACTCAATTCCACTTTTTACATTTTAAGCAGTACGTGATCATCTTTGATATATTTATTGCCTCATATGTTTAATGCTTTTTAATTGCATTCATGCAGCACATATTAATTATGATATGAGTCAGTCACTATTATAGGTGGCATCAGCTCCTCATTTTCCCCTCCCTACCCATTCCCCCCTCCCTCTTGAACCCTTGATAATTTATAACTTATTATTTTGTCATTTCTTACCCTGTCCGACGTCTCTCTTCACCCACTTTTCTGTTGTCCATCCCCCAGGGAGGAGGTCACATGTAGATCCTTGTAATCGGTTCCCCCATTCCAACCAACCCTCCCTCTACCCTCCCAGTATTGCCACTCACACCACTGGTCCTGAAGGGATCATCCGACCTGGATTCCTCATGTTTCCACTTCCTATCGGTACCACTGTACATCCTCTGGTCTAGCCAGATTTGTAAGATAGAATTGGGATCATGATAGTCGTGGGTGGGGTGGGGTGAGGAAGCATTTAGGAACTAGAAGAAAGTTGTATTTTTCATCCTTGCTACATCGCACCCTGATTGGCTCGTCTCCTCTCTGAGACCCTTCTGTAAGGGGATCCCCAGTGGCCTACAAATGGGCTTTGGGTCTCCAGACCGCACTCCCCACCTCATTCTCTATGGTAAGATTTTTTGTTCTGATGATGCCTGATACCTGATCCCTTCGACATCTCGTGATCACACAGGCTGGTGTGCTTCTTCCATGTGGGCTTTGTTGCTTCTGA